ACACACACACACACACACACACACACACACACACACACACCCCTAGTTCTATTAAAATGTTTTATGCTTAATTTCAATAAAAGATTGAATTTTCTTCCCAATGGGCACCAAAAAGTTGTCCCAAAAATGATCTGAGGTAATTCAGATCACTCAATGTTTAAATCTCAAAACATTCCTCATAAAAACCTTTCCAGCCAGGAAAACTGCCTTTAGTACATGCAGATTTGGTAAAATTTGGCTCACATTTTTGTGGAGGTGAGGGGATCTTTAAGTTGGAACTGTTAGAGGTTAAAATGGAATTGATTTTTTACTTTGGTGATGGTAGTTTCTGATGTCGCACTTTATCTCTTTAAAACATCTATGTTGTAGATTTTTTCTTCTGCAATCTCCTTTAAATACCATCAATATGAAACTTTAGTGATCTTTTCGACCTGTATACTTTCTCTTCTTTCTAAGCTATAGTTTAAACAATGTATTTTAAAAAATATAAGTATTTAAATCATCAAATGTCCTTAGACATAGAAAAATCTCTTTATTACATGTATGTAAACTAATTCCTTTGGAAGAATATTTTTTTCCTCGCATGTTAGATATTTCCCCTTATGATAGCTATGTTAACTGATTTGCCTTGCAGATTTCGTTTCACTGAGCATGGTTTGCAGCTAATGACTAATGTGCTGATGTGCATTGTTGTTATAAATTTGCATGTGATATATTAGGCTTGAGATCAGGAGAGCACTTAAACATGAGATTAACTTTAAGTCTCATTGAAGATAAATATCTGCTTATGAGGTGTCTTGAATACAGATGTTTTTTCTTGATCTGCGGTTGTATTGAAGGTTCAGTTAAAACTTACTATTAAACTACAATTAAAATTACTGTTAGGAAATGGAAATTGAATATACAAGTTAAAGGCCTTATTTCTTTGTCTAGTTCTCCCTACTTTGCTATAAGGCATAGTTTAAGGCTAAGCATACCTTGGTCAAATGTCCTTAAACATAGAAATTAGGAATGGAAAAGTTATAGCTTTAAAGACTAAGATATGTACCTAAACAAGAATTCTTCCTATTTCTAATCTTTCTTTCCACTGGATGGTCCAGGTATCTATCTCCATTTACTCCTGAAAATGGCAAGGATAACAGGTATTTCACAAAATGGTCAACGTAGGGAATGTGGGAACCAGAATTGGATACAAGAAGACCATTCTTGTTCTCCTTCCCAGTGTAAGCTGTAGTGGAAATTCAAGTCCTATTTTCAACACCCCTTCGAGTCTTTTCATTAGCCCTCTGGACATGTAAGGGAAGGTCAGGCTTGTAGATGTAGCATGGAAATTTTTCTTCAAATTGCAGAGTGTTATTTCACTCCCTGTAGAGTCACAACAACGCACCCAAGTGCCTAGGCCAGCAGCAATTTACCAGCTAATGCTGTGTTGCTGACACAATCATGCAGCTGTGGCAGTAGTGGTTTTTCTTTTTCTTTTTCCTGCCCCTGTCACTTCCAGACAGCACCTGGGGCAGCTGCCCTGATTGCCCTGTCCTGGTTAGGCTACTGAGCAAATATTGGGCTCTTATCCCCAAAGAACATTGTTTTTTCTCTCAAGTCCCATAGGCAGATGTTTGTTGCAACAGTCAGGAATGCTGTGCATGTAGTTAGCGTCAAAATTTGATGGGTTTTTGTCCTGGTGCGTGACCCCCAACCAGTTTGTGTGTTCAGGATACTAAGGCATTTGTGACTAATTCTGCCTTCAGATATATACATGTTCACCATTACCACGAACAGCCATAGAAACAACACACCACCTGAGCACAAAATTTGACTCTTAGGAATTTTGTTAGAAGTAATTAGAGGAGTATAAAATGCTTCAGTACATGTGCCCATTTTTCTTTCTTTCTTTTCCTTTATTTATTTATTTATTTATGTCTTTTCCCCCCTTTTTTCCTTATCTGTTCTCTACAATTCAAAATCCAATTCAAATCCTCGAGTTTCATTTTGAGTTTTAGGGCTTCCAAAAACCTAATAACTTGAAGAGCTCTCAACTGAATCGCAAAGTTTTGCTGGGTATTGCCCTTGACCTGCAAGCAAGCAAAGACACCTGAGCCATTAATCACTTCAAGTTGGCTTACATCTCACCCCAGATTACTGCAGGTCTGTGAATTTGATTCAGATTTAAAGCTTTTTGAAAAATCTAAACCTGTGCAAGTCTTGGTTAGTTACATGGCCTCCCTCATTTTGTTTTGTTTTTTCCTTTAATTCTGTTTTACAAACCAGTTTCAGAATCTTTTGAACAAAAAATACTTTTTGTCCAGGAAAACAAAATGTGACATATGTGCATTTTAATGGCATGCTTTCATATTTAGAGATTTTGAAATATCAGGCATGCATTCTTTTCTCAGTGTACATACTTTTAATTGGGTAGTATACTTCCATAGCAGCTGCACACCAATATTTGGGCTGTCATTTATGAAGCATTTATTAAGTATCTTAATGTATTCCAGATATGAGGATTAGCAATCAGTATTTTTAGAGACTACTGCAATAATATCCATCTTTTTATGTGCCTTAACCCATCTCAGTAAAATTTATGTGGCTTTCTTTGTAGACAGACTATTTTCTGTTTGTTGGCATTTTAGGACTATGCCTTTCCAAGGGATAGTTTTCTCAGTTCCAGTTAGTGAATAGATTCTTAAATAGTGCTCCAGCTCACCGTACCTGTAAATACTGAGGCCCAATAGCAGTGTTTGAACTTTGTAATAACCTAGGCAATTCTGTTCTCCCTGTCCTGGTATAATGGACCATTTTGATTTGTCTGGGGTAACCTTACCTAATCATTCCTGACTTTTATGCAGCTCTCACTTGTCTTTTGTTTCACCAGATTTCACAGTCAGAAACACCAGCCATCCTATCTTTCTTATATATTGCTCCTGTGCCACTCTGCATTTAAAATGAACAATCAGTGCCTGCAAGTAATTGTATATTACTATGTAGATTAAATTAAATGAGACTGAATTCTAAAAAGTAAATCTGTCATTGATGATATGTGCTTAGAAGTGCTAAGTTATTGGTTATAAATGTTCCTTTTGAAAAACAAATGTTTAGCATGAGATAATGCTGTAAAACCAAGAAAGTAGTTTTGTTGATGCTAGCAATGTGAGAATTAGTCACTTGTGAAAGTAAATATTCCTAAAATGTATATGTATGCATGAATTAGTGTAGAAGTTCTACATGTAAGTTATTTTATAGCAAGTTAATGAAAAATTGCAGTAGGAGTTATTTTAGATAGCCATCATTTTGGAGCTTCTAGATGGCAAATGGAATAAATAATGGTAACATTTAAATACTCTCCTCTGTATTTCCTTTGCTTGGGAAGCCATCTGAAAAAATCAGCAACCAACTCATGGTGTCTTATAGTTTCAGGTGGCCTGGACCTACAGTGAATACCATTTATGCCATTTATTTTGCCATCCATCTTTTTAAACTGATAGTAAAAACTTGCATGTCTGCTGCACTCTCGTCACTTCTTTTCCACTTGTGAATTCACCTTTTATTTCCATGGCTCTTACTGATGCTTTTTCTTCATCTTCTCATAGTCCCTTCCTCCCTATCCGTGGGAATTTCTCCATTATGTTTGAACTCTATTGTTCACCATAAAAAGTCCAGTTCTATGGCTGAACAATCCTTCAGCACCAAGAAATCTTTTAAACCTTCTCCTACCACCTGTTAAAACCACTTGTACACTTATTTTCCCCCAAAATAGTTTTTTTTCATATCATCATGTCTTCCTTGGTCAGAAAGACCAGTTGGAAAAAAAATACATTTACATCACAAATTTATGTTACGTACAGAAGCAGGGCCAAAGCACTAATTATACCTCTAAAGCCAGAATACGTTTATGCTAGTTGTTGGCTCAGAGGGCCCTGTAACTTTAATTAATTATCCTATTAATACCCTATAGTGCATTAATTTTACTGAAAGATAATAGCTACCTTATCTCTAAGGAAACTGGTCTTGATTTTATTAACTTACAGGACAGAAGAATAATTGGCACATATCATTGTCCAGAAATGTATTCAACAAAGGTATCTTTCATTGTTTTCTCATGTTTTTATCCTCAGAGGCTTAAAATTGAGGTCCTGACCATTTGTGGTCACTAAAGATCCCATGGCACTTTTTGTAAGCATAGGCATCTCAACCCCAAGCATTCTGGCCAAATTGCAATTTATGTAACTATATTCTGCTTACCTAACATTCCCACCACCACCCACCCACCCCATAGTTTCAATTGGCGACAGCATTCTTCATTTCCTCTATGAAAATAAAGTGTGTTGTTCTGTACTGTTATACAGTCACCACATTTCACCTGAGAGGTGATTGCACTTCACTGGCACATGAAGTGATTTTTCTTTCTAAAGTTTGGAAAGCGCTTTGGGATCATTTTGTATAAAAAGTGTATATAGTAAATGTAATTTGTTATCATCTTCTCAAGCTTCAGTTTAGTTACCAAAGTACATTTTATTTAGGGTTGGGCGAACCAGGTAGGTGACAATGACACTCCAAACCATGTCTTGTACCTCACAGTAAACTGTCTTTTACGAGGTTCAATAGCAAAGTTAATTTACTTTTCCTTACTTTTCATTTTTGTGTCCTTTTGCGTTACTGGATTGGAAATGAGAGATCTGCATACCATGAAATATTCAGTTCCTCTGCAATGTTCTGTCACTGTTCCAGATGCAGAAGGTCAGACTAAGTGCTAGAGAAGCACATGAATTTCTGGGTGCTTATCTGACCATTCTACCATTTGGAGGTTCGCCCATCACTAATTTCACTAAATACTGGGTTGTTTCTACTTTTCCTCAAAAAAAGTTGTTGAGATGTTGGAAACCTCTGCTCCAGCTCTCATTATACAAATGTGTTAAGTTCATTAGAAGATACTTTCCCCTAGGAATTTAAAATAATAAAGCATGTAAAGCATAATATATTATGGGCACAGATTTCTTTTTTGTTTAGTGATATTAATCCTACTTAACTGCTGCCAAATGTACAAGACTTGCTGTGTTGACAAATTAACCAGGTACATGCTCACATTTCAATGTTGTTAAATATTTGTCAATACCAACCATACAAGGACTCAATGCAAAAGAAAAAGATAGCAGTTAACTGGAGAAAAATAAATCTGAATGCTGAATACTGTAAAATATTTTAATCCAGGTTGAATTGATCAGATTTTTTCTTGCATTTGTGTGTTCCATATGAAGTATATTCTATAATATTCCATAAAGAACACCTTGTGATCTGATATCAATACAAGTCAGTGAAATAATACAGTCAGTTTCCATTCAGCCGCAAAGGACTCTAGGTGTGGCCATGTTAGTGGAACCCAAGGTAGATTCTTAAAAATTAAGAACGTTCTTCTCCTTTTCAGGTGAAAATAATTCACAACCTGCTTTCATTTAGTCTTTAGCATGAAATTCTGGGCTACTGAAATCAGTCTCAAATCTCCCATTGATTTCAGTAGGGCCAGAATTTTACTCCTAATGTCTGAGCTAAGACAACATGGCCCTAGTGTTTTAAGTCTTTGCACCCCCCTTATATGCTACCTCCCTTTGTATTGTTAATCATTATTGCAGTCTTATTATACTGTCATACTTTTCTTTTTATTCAGAGCCTTAGAGGTCTCATAGGGTGTGAGATTATGTGGTGATTCAAACAAAACATATTGCCCCAGAAATCACTGACAACTATAAGGCTTTAGAAAATTATTCCAGACAAATGTTTGTTGAGAGGCTGGAGATGTTCCATAGACTTGCTTAGAAGTTGTAAGTCTCTGATTTTTCAACTGGGCAGCAGGGAACTAGTTTTTGTCTTATTTAAAAATTTATAGACTTCCCAGGTATTGTGATCAAATATTTTCTTGAGTTCAGGTTAAATCCACGCAATTTTTTCTTTATCATTTTTTCTTAATCACGCTAAAAACATAGACAGGAAATTGTACTGAAGAAGGGTGGGAATGGGGCAAGTACTATATGTCAGCTCATCCATGGAAATTGTTTCATGTGTCTGCTTTATCCCATGGTAAGTACAAAGTAATCCATGGTAATCATTCAGTGGTGAATAATCATAGTTTCCACTTATAGCATAATACAACTGACACATGAAACTGTTCCTGTGGATCACCTTATGCATGGTAAATCCACTCTCCCCTCTCCCTTAATTCACTATATTTATCTGTATAGTTTTTGAAAGATCATGATTTGAGTTTCATTTTGAGTTGTTAGGTTTGTCCAAAGTAAAATTCAATTGAACTAGAGGGGTGCAAAGTCATTTAGTCTTTACAATTTAAAGGAAAGCCTGGCAAACCAAAATTGTTGCATTTATACAGTTCTAACACAGATGTAATCACTCAAATCACAGTGTTTCAATAGGTCCAAATAACTTTTATGTAAAGTTTGTCCTCTTGATGTGTATGTTATCAGTTAGTATATGTGTATGCTATTAGTTAAGCTAATATTTAAATACACTGTAAAATGATTGTCATTAAATAGTAATCATTTCCATCCATCCTGACACCATGGCAGCTAAAAGATTATTTTTATTCCCTGAATGTTGGCAAATGCTGTGCTGTGCTATCTCTGACACCATAGTGAGATAGCTGCAAAAATAACGTCACTTTAATATTATCATTGAAAACCTCACAAAAACAGTTATTTTCATCTCCTTTGTACGCATATTGACAGTAGTATATAGTGAATACATAATATGACTGAATTACTGTTGTTCCAAGAAACCATGGGGTAGTTTATTTCTCACTTAAGATGGTTTACATCTGGAGTACATCCACTGAAGTCAGTGAAGTTATAGCTGGCTCTTCATTTGCCACTTGTCTGAATTAATCAAAGTATTTGCATGTAGTTAACCTTGGTGGTTAAGTAATTCAAAATACTGATGAGAATTACAAGGAAAACCTTAGATAACCTCATACTTATGGAAAGTTTTTAAGGGACGTATTGTACTTCAGATGTATGCCAAAGTAACTAACTGCAGAATTTATCCCTAACCTTTTTTGAATAAAGTTTTTGTAGTCACATTTTTAATCATAACATCACATAAATAGGTATTTTTTCATGGAATTGCCTCATTTGTTTGTCTTTTTAAATGCACATTGAAACTACTGTGCAATGTAAATTTGATGTGATTACACTCTGGAATAAATACATGGATTTTTTTTGCTTTTAATATTCAACCATCTGCCAGTGTTCTGGTCTGATGAAATCTCCCAGTATGCACTGTGCTTTATGAAGTTTGTGAATTTTGGAGAATGACATTCTTGTCTGTATTTTGTGCATATTTGGAGATCTTGTCACAGGGGAGGCTGCCACTTCCTGGAAGAAAAAAAAACGGAAAATCCAACCTCAGTAAATTATTGAGCCCAGATATGGGTGCACAATCTAAACTCTTGGTTCAAAGATTATACCTTTTATTAGGTCAACTGAGAAATCAGAAAAAAAAAATTTCTGCAAGTTTTCTTGCTCATATTCCCTTCATTAGGCTCAGGGAAAATTAAAGATGGTAAAAAGTCCCCATAGGTAGGAAAGAAACTTCATTTTTGCAAAGAGGAAGCTGAAGATAGAAATCAGTCCCTCTGGGTCCATGACAGTGTCTTTGTGAGTTGTTCTAAGTTGTTCTTTGTTGTGCAGATCAGGTAGGATCCCTTCCCTGGACGTGTCAGATGGCAAGCAGGGAGGTGTAGAAACCTTTCTTGTTGTTCAGCAATGAAGTTTATTATCCAAAACCAGCTAAAATATGGCATTTTCCGTATTTCAGGGATGTATTTGGTAGCTGTGTTAGTCTGAGGCAAAATTAATGCAGAAATCTAGAAGTCTTGGTTCAGAGATATTTTTCAAATGATTATGCTCTACATGCATGAGATTAGGAGATAACCAGCAGCCTTGTGCCATCACTCTGTATTCCTTCTACTCTCTAAATCTAAAGTCCAGCAAATACCTTCTATTCAGACATACAGAACAGGCATGATTAGCCTTAGAATATGCAGATTCCTGTTTATAAATATTGTAATTTCACTATTTGAAGGACAGGGCTAAAAGTCCTTTAACTAGATTGGCATCTAGTGGATTTCTTTGACTCTATATTAAGTCTGCTGTCTTATTTCTTACAGATGGATCCACATGAAAATATTTTGTTGAGCACACTTGAAATTAAAAATGAGATGGCTGCCTCTGAGGCTGTTATGGGGCTTGGGGACCCTAGAAGCACTATGCTTGCCTACGATACTTCAAGCATCCAGTACCGGAAAGCTGGCTTGCCCCGACACAGCTTTGGCCGCAATGCCCTGGAACGACATGTGGCACAAAAGAAAAGTAGGCTACGGAGACGTGCCTCTCAACTGAAAATTACCATTCCTGACTTGACTGATGTAAATGCCATAGATCGATGGTCGCGCATATTCTTCCCTGTTGTTTTTTCCTTCTTCAATATTGTCTATTGGCTTTATTATGTGAACTAAAAAACAAAGCCACACAGAAAGCAAGAACTGGATTTCTCTTCAAATCGGTTGTACAGCCAAAAGTGGGACTTAGAAAAATTCTATTCAGGACAAAAGTTATTTTAAAACACCTTAGTTGCTGGCCCACTCTATGGTCTGTTTTCTAATATTTGGGTTACTTCTGCTAAACCGTTAATCTGTTCTTAAGTTACAGTATGAACACATTCCCCCCCATTAAAATATTAGTGCATTTGAAGTGTGGAGGTAAAATCTGATTCTAACAATCATTTCTTTTCTTCTTTTTTTATATAGTAACATGCATATGAGCTAAACCACACAAGCTATTAAAAAAAGAGAATTTGGAAGACAGGTTTAAGTTTTAACCACTGCTTGTGCCATTTCTTTGTGAAATTGCACATCAAGTACATATGCATCTATAGTTAAAAAGAGAGAGAGAGTGTTCTAAGATGCTGTCATGCTTATGAAACATACACACTTTTACCTTCTAAAATGTGTAAACTTGAAAACAAGTAGTGCCTATCATCTCACCAGGATGATCATGGTCAAAGGTGTCCCAGCTGTATTCAGGTATTTCCTGTTACTGAAAGAACTAAACCTTTGACTGATATTATGAGTGGGTCAGGAGTTTGCACAGAAATTTAGAAACTAAAGCCAGGGTTTGTTTGTTTTTTTTATTTTAAAGCAGCAGCATAGGGTGGTGATCACAGTCCATCACATTTGTGATCTAGAAGGGAGCATGGAAATCAGGTTTAGAGATGGACCAAGCCATCATGTCCTAAACGGGTAGACGTCCTGTTACACTCAACATTTGGGAAAGGGAGTCATTTGTCTGAAGTGCCAAACATTGGTTGGACAAACAGTAACTTTATATGTGGCTAAAGGGAGACCATTGGTGCCCTGCCCTTCCAAGGGTAGAAAAAAGGAGACAGAAATGATTTCCGGATATAGCACTAAGAGAGGGAAAGCTATAAATATATACTGTGCAACTGAATTTTGTCAATCATAGTACGTATGTTAGTCCAAATTGTTCATATGGAGTTGAGTGTTTTCTTTCAAGTTTGCATACTTTCAAGCTTCACACCTGACGTTGCTTTTATATCTAGCATCTAACATCCAGCAGGAGAGAACAAAAAGAGTTATTGTGTCGAGCAGACAATTACAGGAATTATCTTAGCTGTTTTCAGCGTTCAGATTCAGAAAGTTTCCAATCACACATCTTTTAGTACAAAATAATTTGCCGGTAGGATATTTTCTCAAGCTGAGCTAAACAATACTTTTTTTAGTAAACTCAATAAGCTATTTTAAAAGAAAGGATTTGATAAACATTGCTTTAATAGATTGCTTGTGCTTTTCAGCATTTCCTACTTTAGAAGGTCTAACGATGTCCTTTAAAACTGAAAAAACTAAGTTTTGCTTTAGAAAATATATTTTTATTGAAAACAAAAGAATACACTTTTTTCCATTTAACTTTATATTGTATAGGAAGACTCTTCCCAAAAGGTGGGCAAGGTAATAGAATAAAAGTTGCTTATTGTACCATTGTAGAAAAGCTGCCTGTATAATGAAAAATTAAATCCAGTAACTAAAAGCATCAAGTCCTGACAGATTTTACAGATGTCTTCAGAATTCAACAGAAGATAGTCACCAAAATAATGGCTATAATCCCTTGTGTCTGTGCTACCTCTCACCTACAGTCAACCTTCTAAAAGGAACACAAATTCTAGCATCCTCTGAATAACAGAGAAATATGCAAACAGCTTCATTTTCCCTATTTAAGGATTCATTTAGAAATACTTTAAGAATTGTTTCTTAACATTTTTTCATTAAAAACAGATTTTTTTTTCTCTTTCTACTCTTGGTCTATCCTTTAAAACTCAACATCTCTATTGGAAACGTTATGGGTTTTTTTTTTTTTAAAGGGTGAGAAATGACTGGAGGAAAACAGCTTTGAGAATTAATGATCCTAGTTTGCCCTGTAATTTCTTACTTCTCTTCTCCATTACCATTGGCTTTGCTTCAGAATGAGAAAAATAGCTTTGACTGTTATTTTGTTAAGAACCAGAAAGTAAGGTATGCTAAGCATTTACATCTCTAGTTACCATCAAGGCAATTGTGTGTACTCAGCATTGCCTCTAGGGTCAAACACCGAAATGTGTGGAGAGTCAAGCTTTTGATCATATGATAGCTTTTCCATGATGAAAGTTGCTTTACCATTCACGGATTTGATTTCTGAGAGCATTTAATAAATCAAAACAATATATTTTGTAGGTGTATTTGAAGTTACCCTTATACATGAATCATGTATGCAAATTCCTCCCAACTTCTAAGAAAAGGATCCAGTCCAGAAATCAGTAATATTCTTTGAAGTCTGTTCTTTAGTTTTGGCACCCTTTATGATTAATCCAGTTTAATATTATGTTAGACATTTTATGCTCTTATGTGCAAGATTTCTTTTCACAAAGAGCCTTTTACTTCTTCTTTCATAGAAACATAATTTGAATACAGGAGGCATTGAGCACATATGTGGTAGGCACACCTCAAACATAAAACCTAACAGAGAATGTGCTTATTTTCTGCTTTGGTTTAGCAGATCAGCTGTAGTCAAAACCATGGAGATCAGATCCTAATACTGCACATTAATGTTTCTGAAGTTACAGTACAAGCCATAATACTCTCTGATGATGTTATTCAGGGAGTGAAATGAAATGTCTGGTTTCTGCTCAGGTGTCATTATGAAGGATATTTCAAAGGAGGAAGGAGCACTTTAACTTCCACACGATCCTGTTGACTTTTAATATTCTATATCTAAAACAAAAGTGGAAGGATCCTTCCAAAATTGAGCAGTTACATTTTGTACTAAGGCTAAACACTGTGATGTGAATAAGGTAAAGGTGAGAAGAATGGACAAGACCTTGGCATAGAAGAACCAGAACCTAAGAAGGCTTGATCAATTACTCTTCTTCTTGGGTCGCCTGTATGAAAGCGATAAATTATGCCAGCATACAAAAGAGGTGGATTTTCTTATGTGTACTACCCTGTAAGTGGATTAGAATAACTAACCTTGCTTTTACCTTAGAACTGACCTAAAGTGAATATTATAGATACTTTTGCTCCTTTCCACTGTTAGATTCACTAACTAAAATATTAAATTAAAATTTAGATCATTTTTGTAATATAATTACACATTTTGTTGTTTCATTATGCATAATAGCCAGCAATTAAGGTGTTTTTCATCTTTGTGAAATTCATGGGCAAATTATGACTACAACATGGCACAGTTTTAATGAAATCTTTGAGATCAGTCTGTAAATATATACTGTATATGACTGCTAGTAAGAATGATATGCATTTTCAGAACTGAAAACTCATGCAACATATTTCTGTGTTTGCATAAGGAATGTTAAGTTTCTATCCTACTGTGGTTTAACAACTGGGAAGAAAGACTCAAGCAATGTCATTCTGAACATTTCTTTTATCATTCCCGGGGTGGGGAAACAGGGTCTTAAGTAATAATGTGTTAAAGATTACTTCAGAGAGTTATATTATAATACAAAAGACATAAAATCTGTCAGGTACAAAAGCACAAAGCATGGCAGTGGCCAAACCAGGGATTCAGTGACCCTGAATC